ACACATATGGACATAGTAAACTTAGATAAATAAGAAAATGACAAAACACAACATTACATTATTTAATTAATTATGCAAAACGTTTGTATTAAAAAGTTTTCCATTGAAGTTTTATGATGTAAAAACCTTTTCCATAAATACAAAGATAAACAGTCTGAATCTGAACACCTTTTCCTTCCTTCCCTTACTGATGAGCACAGAGGAAGGTTATAGAAATTCGTCTAGTCTCCGTCTAAGGGCACGTGCGAAACGGAGACTAGACTATAACTTTGATTCCCAAACCCCAAACCCCAAATACAAAGATGAAGTGTTATCAAAATAATATTGGATAGAGCAATATAGACAAAATTACAAATGTTGAATGGAGCTGAAATAGATATTCTAAATAGAATAAAACAAAACAAGAAGTAAAGTGTATTGGATAAAAACTGAATTTACTTGTGTTGTACCAAAGAGCATTAGCAGATGTTTTTCTGTAAGTTGCACAAAAAGGGCGTTTCTGACCAGGGAGTGTCTGATCGAAGGGAATCGATTTACTCTCATGACGTTTTGCTCGACAATCTATCTTTATTCAGCTGCTGTTTCCCGATGTGCGCCTCGTGTGAGCCAAACACTCTCGCCTTGCGCACGCGGATGGAACATCTGTAATTGAATAGGCCACATCATCTATGTAAGTTGTTTACAAAGAATTCGGAAAAAAGTCAGTAGGAGCTCAGCTCAATGTTGTGCAGCCACTTTGGAAACTAACCGGTTTCAAGCATTCGTGGTCGGAAGGACACTGAGCATTCGATTGGCACTCAAGGAGCTCTCCGTTGGGGTGTCGATGAAACGCTGCACCACTGGACATGAGAGCTCTAAAAGGCATCACTGTAAATAAACCTCGGACAGAATAGAAGGACCACTGGCTCCGATCATCAGATGCGACCTTACCTGGTCTAGAGCAATATTCCATGCACATTTGCCGCACAGGGAAATTGTTCGGGTTTCCATCACAACCACGGAAAAGAAACGAACGGCACGAGTGTGTGAGATCGTCAAAAAACCTTAAAACGATATTTGTTTCTCATAAATTCCCAGATGGAACAGTGAACTTACCATCGAACTGATGCCGTCCGATCGCAGGACTTGCCCTCATCGGGTCGCAACATACATATGCTTTCTGGAAATATCATATTTAATGTCGTCATCATCGAAAGCCTGAAAACTTGGCACAAATCCTTTAGCCTTGCGAGCCATCGTAGAAAGGCTGATCCGATTCAAATCAGGATGCATAAAGAAGATTTCTCGCACCCACAATTTCAGCACTATCGCTTATACTGCGGTCAGCACAATGGCGAGCCCCTCTTAGTAACTATTTCTCATTCATTCCATTGCATATTCGCTTTGTTTCAGAAAACCAGAAGCGCGTCGAGTGCAGACCACACACCACAAGTGACGACGGCCTTCAAGTAAATCTGGTGATTCATAGTGATAGCTGATAGTTGATAAAAAAAAGAGTTGTAATTGGTGACAACTGATAGAATACAACTGCAACAGGCTAATCATTTCATTGGCAGAAAACATATTCATTTTGTGGAGGCCGTCGTCACTTGTGGTGTATAGTCTGCACTCGAAGCGCTTCTGGTTTCCTGAAACGGAGGGTACCTGCTGTAGGGCAACATCCATAAGTGGTTCCATCGAAGTAACATTCGTAGTTTGCTGGACATTCGTTTTCGTTGAGATTCATCGAGCATCGTTTCGACAGGTCTCCGTCTTTTAGCGGATCTCCACGCGGACAACGGACCTCGGCTAAACAACCCGACTTAGGAAAGTTCAAACAGGCACACTAAAAACGTGCTCAATTTGTCACACCTTGAATTCCATCGCAAGCGCGTTGACAGCTGTTTAGCGAAAGGAAACTGTTCGAATTGCCATGACAGCCTTTGTACACAAATGCTCGACAGCTTGACGATGAAGCATTGTACCAGAATCGAGAAGAAGCCGAGACGTGACACTCAACTCCTTCACTCAGAGGTAGATTGCACAGATCAGCTGCAACAATCCTATTATTCAAGGTCATGTAGGAGGCGTAAAACATGATCCTGCCGCCGAAACGATGCAGCGAACTAGTCTGCTGAACGAGACTGCCAAATTAGAGATTAAAAAAACGAAAAATTACGATTAGATCGCGAATAAAGTGCACTGCTTCTGAATGCATAAGGAGCCACTGCTCCTAGATTTCAATATTATCGATATTCATCTTCAGTTTCCAAAGGCAATTTTGGCTTGGTTTGAGCAAATGCTAGGAGACAATTTGAACCGACCTGCTCTTAAGCAACATCTTCCATGGTGGCAGGTATAAGTCGATGGGCAGCGATCGGTGGAAGAGCAGGAAACCAGCGTTCCGGTGGGTGATCTCAGCGGCAAGCCAGCCGGACACATATCTAAACAACGATTCTAGTGAATGTCCTGGGAACGTGAATAGTTCAGGACAGTGGAA